TTCATATCACAAGTAATGAAATAATTTATAAAGATGGATTGTGATATATATACTGTGATGTATAATTAGAAGAAGAGGGAGTTTTATAATCTCAACAAACATCTTTAGGGGCGTTTGCGGAAGGATATTTATGTAATTTGCAATTTAAAAAGATAGCCTTGCTTAAAGCGCCTTGAATTTTACATTCATTGAATTAATTTGCAAATTAACGTCCTGCATAAAATTATCGATTGTCAAGTAATTAATCTTTTTGAACAGCCTGATCAAAGAAATATGATATTGTGAAGGGTTCATTGCCTCATGCGTTCGTTCACGAGACACGCGTCGAATGGGTGCCTTAATTGGTCATCGGAAATATTCAGACGCGTCGAGACAATTAACAGTCACGTGGCTACTTTTATTCGCAAACAAAACTAATGTAGAGCGAATATCGACAAGTTTCAAACGTGTTTGCCTCGAATAAATTTTATCAAATATTATTCAGTTCTATTTAAGTAAATATACCAATAGAGTTAATTATAATAGTGATTAATTATAATTATCAATAGTACTGTATAAATATGTTGATGTATTTTGTTTTCTATTAATATAATTAAATAAGCAGATCTTTAAAATTTTCATATAGAATTCAAATATTTACGGAAATATTGTATATTTCTGAGAGAATTGTCAAAGACATTAGAGTAAATATCAAGATTGAACGCAATTATTTATGTGTGAATGTGAAATACTTTTTATATATTCATTGTTTACTTATATTTTCTATTATCGTTCCTAAGATATTTTCCAACAAGGTTATTATCTGATTGAAATAAGCTGCGCGCGTAAATATTCATTATTCAAAATAGCAGCCCAGAGATCGCAAAACATTAATTCGGAATGCATCTCATTAATATAATTAAAAAAACAACACTCTCTCTTTTGCATTATATTTTTCTCTCTTTCACATTTATTTTTACTTTCAATATTAGTATATAATTTCAAAATTTAGATTTCTGTCATATATAAATAATTCCAGACATTTGTTTTTAAATTTTTGCCAAAAGGAGATTTGCTGCAGAGCGGATCGCAAAGTGCAATTTATCACGAGCTTATAACGAACGAACAAAAGGGAAAGAGAGAAGGAGAAGAGAATAATATATTTTTTGCACGCACTCACCAGCACTTTGGTGAAACGCCTCTCGAGCTCGTTCGCGTCCGGCATCGGTTGTCTCGGCGCGCTGCGCACGCGGCTGCCGCTGCGTGTGTGAGTCCGCCCAGGCTGCCCATGCCCAGGCTGGGTTGACACGAGTGATGAGGCACGCCGGCCTTGACACACCGCCGACGAATACCTCGCGGACACCGCCATCGCCATCGCTCTCGCCGCCGCGGCTCTGCACGATTCCCATAATTCCGTATAAGGCTTTTCACTCGCGTTTATCACCCGCGCTTTCTTTCGCGCCGGTTCACCCTGATTCCTCGGAATTCTCGCAACCGCTGCTGCTGCAACGCGGCGTCGGTGATTGACGCGACTGTTAGCGACACGCACCCATGTACATATATATATAATATACACACACACACACATACACTTGTCACGCGACGTACACTGTCGGGAAACGTCAACAATGCATTTTTCGTCCCGGATGGAGTCTGACCGGCGTCGCGCGTTGCGGAGCGACTTCACGCCTTGGAAAACGCGACTTCCGAGAGGTCGAGCCCGAGGGATCCCGGACCGCGTCGTGCAACAGGTATCGCCGGACGGTCGTCCATCGCGAGTACGGAGGAGACTTCCACGAACTCTCACGGACGCGCGCGCGACCTCCCCCAGTAACGACGATACAAACCGACAACATTCACCAAACGCACCGGACAAAGCGTTTACAGCAGATCTGCGCCGCACTTCACTGCCTCACGCACCTCGACCTCCACTTCTCCCACTTGACACTTCGCGCATGCGCCGTCGTCCGGTGCGGCGCTGTCGTTTTCGGCGCGAAATTCAAATGCGAACCGCGCGTTTTCTCTGTACAATTTTCTTGTATAAATGTTTTCAAAGACCAAAAAAAAAAGCGATTTGTCAGATATGTCTGTTTTCGGGTTTTACGTTTATGATACTTTGATGACGAGGTTAGGTAAAAAAGAGAAGAAATGAATAATCTGTAAGAGGAGAAATTAATAATTTGTGCTGTTTGTAATGTTCATTGAATAACTCGAAGAATTGAATTCAAGAATTTTCGGAGCGGTTTCGAGCGATCGGAGAGAGAGAGACAGAATTGAAATCTTTGTCTCCTGCTGATACAAATTAATAGTACAAATTAATGATTCCGCGAACGTCATTAGAGAAAATGAGATTCGATTCTTACCTGATTTTCGCCATCAAAGTATTACGAGCCCCTCGCGATCTACTCTTGAAACTCGCCATTTTCGATACGATAAACGTGAATACAGCTATAATTACTCATCAGAATATAACTGCATTTGATTGACCAATCAAAACCATTTGCCGTTCCTAAGTTTATTTCTAGTGCTTACCATGTAGTATGTAGTTGTTAAGATGCGTACGTAGATATTTTTTTTTTGCCAACTACTGCGCACGCGTGGGAAAAATTGTACCCTCATCGCGCGCGTCTATACATGACATATTTGATGGTTATAACTGTAGTGTTGACCGCAGTCGCGCAGATAGTGCGTGGTTAGCTGTGTTGTTGCGTCAACGTGTGAGATGTTCGGCTATTTTTGGGACATTTCCGCTGGCGATTGTGACTGCCGTGACGTTTGAATTACAGCCGAGGAATTATGGCCGAAGCCGAGCCGAAGAAATAAAGACGGTTGTAAACACGACGAGGGAGACAATGGTCAAGCAAGAGAAGCGCGAGAGTACACTGACGAATGGCGGGAAGGGCTCGGCGATGACGCGGACAGCCTCGAGGAGTTGCCGCTCGATATAGGCGAGCACTATCTCGTTCGCAGATCTGACGACTCCTGGCGTGCGTAAAGACGATTGATAATAATTAGTAACGCACGTGATTATTTGCACTAAGAGTCTGCTAAACATAGCTCCATCCAAAGGCAAAGGCGTATATAATTATAATTTTGACAATGAGTTAATCGATGTATATATATTTTGCTATTTATGGGATACAAATATAATATGTTGAATATTTTATATCAGTCAAGCTATTTATATTATGTTTAGGAATATTAAATTATTTTACATATTGTCATTTAGTATGTGTTAGTGTAGATGACTAATTCGCTTTAAGTTCTTTCAAGCTTGGTTTAAAAAGTTGATAATTATTAATAGTTTATCATTTTGTAAATGTTTCTTTGCTCTTGCATTACGTTTCTAAATTCTTATTGATGATATCACGATTTTTGAGGAACTAGAGCATGCTTATACCTAATTAGCTTCTTATTATGAAATATTACACACAACGAAAGAAATTTGATTGTAAAATTAATATGTATATATATATATATTGCTTTATTAGAAATATATTATTTTGAGCAAAAATAAATATTAGAAGATTATTTATCTGTTTGATATTACTATATTTATTTGTCCTATTATTGTATAGATCCTGCTGAAATTATCCCAAACACGTTACAATGAGAATGAGAATCACTATGAATACTATGTTCATTACGAAGGACACAATAGAAGATTGGATGAATGGGTACCTCGTGACAGAATTATGTCCAGCAGGTTTGACATGAGTGAAATAGAGCGACATGATAGACATTCTGGGATGGATCTGTTAGCGGATTCTTCTGATCGCAAAATTACTAGAAATCAGAAAGGCGTCATGATGAGATTAATCATGTACAAAAGGTAGGAGAAATCTATATCAAATTATATAGTATTAAGTCCTAAACAGAAATTTCATTATTAGTTTCTTGGCATCAGTATTATATTTACATTAGTTTTTACATTATTATTAGTGCAGTATATATAGTATATATTTGATAAACTATTTTTATTATTCAGACTTATGCAGAATGGACCCTACCACAGCTGCACTAGAGAAAGAACATGAAGCTATAACAAAAGTCAAAGTACATAGATAGAATACAGATTGGTAAGTATTATTGTATCATTTATACACTAATCCATTAATGCCATTAATGCAAAAAGAATCTCATGATTTTCAAAAGTTTGTTTCTAGGCAAGTATGAGATTGACACTTGTTATTTTAGTCCATATCCTGAAGAATATGGCAAGCAACCAAAACTCTGGATCTGCGAGTATTGCTTAAAGTATATGCGTCTCGAGAAAACTTACAGATATCACATGGTAAAATGTTAAAGAACTATTTATATTTGTTAAGATATTATTGTATATATATGATTATGATATATTTTTTGTTTCAGAGTGAATGTACTCATAGACAGCCAGTCGGAAAAGAAATCTATCGAAAAGGAACATTAAGTATTTGGGAAGTAGATGGCAGGGAACACAAGATATATTGTCAGAATTTGTGTTTGCTAGCTAAATTATTCTTGGATCACAAAACGCTTTATTTCGATGTAGAGCCATTTCTTTTTTATATTTTGTGTGAGGTGGATAAACATGGTGCACATTTAGTCGGTTATTTTTCGAAGGTATGCTATAAACTTAAGTAAATAATCTAAATATCCAAAAATACAAATTTTTTAATCAACATTAAAATTTTCAAAACAAAGAAATGTTTGATTCTCTTGAGACCTGTTTTAAATATTTTGTAATTAATGTGATCAATCTATAAAATCATCTATAAATTATTTTCCGTTTTCAGGAAAAAGAATCACCCGATGGTAATAATGTTGCCTGTATTTTAACTCTGCCACCTTTTCAAAGACAAGGCTATGGTAAATTACTAATAGCTTTTAGTTATGAATTAAGCAGACTTGAACAAACAGTTGGAAGTCCAGAGAAACCTTTAAGCGACTTAGGAAAGTTGTCTTATCGCAGTTATTGGAGTTGGATTTTGCTGGAAATTCTTCGAGATTTTAGAGGAACGCTTAGTATTAAAGATCTTAGGTAAAACATTAAACATATGTTATTATTAATTATTTCAATAACAATATAAAGATACAAATAATATGAATCTATTTGCAGTCAAATGACCAGCATCTCGCAGACCGATATCATCTCGACCTTACAAAGTATGAACATGGTTAAATATTGGAAAGGACAACACGTTATTTGTGTCACACCTAAGTTAGTGGAAGAACATATAAAAAGTAGTCAATACAAGAGGCCGCGTCTTACAGTTGATACTAATGCATTGAGATGGGGAGCACCACCTAGAAAGAACGTAAAACCCGGCAAGAAATAGCACTTAAGTGGATTAATGTAATGCATTTCTTTTCCACAATACTTTTCCAAAAATAGGATTATAACTTGACGATATATCATTTTAACGCTCGATAAATAATCGAACATGTTAATTTACGATATGATATTTATAAGTTTATGAATCTCCTTACAGTGCATTTACAAACGCAATTAATATTAAACTTCTTATTTTATGTGCATCTCATGAAATAATTGATCAATAAGCAACATATGTTGATACAACACTGAGTATTAATAAAATTATGTAGCTTTTAATTTTAGCTAAATTGTTAGGACTTAAACTGTTTTGGAAAAGATGTTAATTGCGTTTTGTGAACGGCAGAATAAATACATATTTTACATCTGACAAATCTTCAGAAATTCTGATTGTAAGTGCATTTTTGTGAACAATACAGTAAAAAAAATTAGACCATTCTAACTTTTATATGTAAATACATTAAGAATGTATCCTCCATTTGCAGGTAGAGAGGAATGTTTTTTCTGTAACGTGTGTACAAAAGTGGAAAAATTATATATTATAGCAATTATATTTTGGAGCAAGTAGCTTTATGAAATTCAACGACTGTGTTGACAGTCGCTATAGCGGTTCCTGGTGCCATGCAAACTCCGTAACCACCATGTCCATAATTGTGTACGATCTGCAAAAAGAATAATACGAAGTCGATTTGTGAATAATACGTAAACTCTTTTTTTGTCATCCAAGTACTAACTATAGTTTTATTAGAACAATCACTGTTAACGATATTTCCCTCTCCAACTCTGACACCCGCCTTCCCTATGCGGCCGCAGACCGACTTCCTGTCGTAAAAGTTCTGCATCTTTCAAGGATGGAATTAATGTTTCGCATCTTTCGCGAATCGCTGCGGATTCGTATGGACATAATTTTGTATTTTCGGAATCGAAGCTTCTTGATCCACCTAGAGTAACTGTGCCATTGAAACCTGGTATGACATAAGTGTCGAGCTCACCATAAAAGAAAACTTTCATCCATGGTGCTCTTATCTGTACAGATAAATGAAAAGCAAAGAAAGATGTTGATAAACAGAGTTTATAACAAAAACGAAAGATCGCATACTTTGAGCACTTGTCCACGTATAGAAACGAGATGTCTGTCATTGCATAATTTACGTGCTCCAAGCCCGGTGCAATTTATTATAATGTCAAATTCACCAGTTAATTCCCCGAAGGAATTAAGATTTCTTTGCTTAAATGTAACTCCGTCTTTTAGCAATCTGTAGCAAGATAAATAATTTAAAGCTATGACAATTTTTCGTCAACTCAATATTTACAACATATGTTTCACTTTTGCTTAATCCATGGAAGATACAAATTGCTTTGTGTAAGAAGAGTCGAGAAAAATGATCCATATTTCCAATTGCCATTAACTAATTGAAATTCTTCCTCTGTTGCTCTTCTGTATATCGGGACTACACTTTCAAGCCAATCATTCTAATTAAAGTAGTAATTCAATCAATACAAATTAAAGCGATATATATGCTCACATTATAAGTATATAAATTTATATCTACATTATTATGAAATAATTCATGTTTATTCTTACATATCTCAAATTCTTGATAAGAGAGAATAGTTTCTTAAGGGGTAACACCACTCTAGGATTTTGAAAAAATCAATTTTTTTTTTTGCTTTAAACAATGCTTTAACATCATAAAAATAACATGCACTTGGTTTTATAGTAAAAAAAATTTTTTAAAAGCCTCTACCAACGATTTTTCCGCAGCGCCTCGGAGCGCCGCTTGAGCCTTAACGCGGCGCGTTCGGATTCATCGCTTTTGTCATCCTGTTTTACCTTTCAGGATAATAAGTGGCCCTGTTATTTATAGTGCAGAAGATGCTTGAGTTACTCAAAAGATCACCAGGGTACGCTACTGCCAAAATAAACTTGTATTTCAGTACAGCTGGCAATGTGACGCCAAGCACACGCACATTTTTGATTTTTTCATTGCTTTCTCTGTTTTCTATACATACATTTAGTTGTTTCTGAGTGCTTAACAAGATGAGTAATAAAAGAAAAATATATAAGGAGAAGAAAGGCTCAATGGGGAGTGCTAACGATTCGAAGAGACCGAGAATTTCAAAGCGGCGACCGTTGAACCGTTACGAATTGGAGATGCCGGATCTCGAGAAGGCTGGCACATCGGCTCGCAAATTATCAGAAATAGATCTTGAAGAATTTGAAGTAGAAGAAGGATTTGGATACCGAATTTTAAACTTTTTAGCCGTTTTCTCCGCTATATCGCAAGCTGTTGTCTGTAAAAAATGCAAATCTGAAGTGACATTCACCGAATCTGCAAAGCGTGGCTTGGGTTTTAAAATTGTGATTTCGTGTCAAAAATGTGACAAAATTTATATTCCTAGTTCTCCATTTATTGAAAAAGGATACGAGATTAATCGTCGAATTGTACTTGCTATGCGGCTACTCGGAGTAGGACTAAATGGAATAATGAAATTTTGCGCGTTTATGGATCTCCCGCGACCAATTTTTCAATCATTCTACGACAGAGTCGTTAAAAGAATCGCTATTGGAGCAGAGGCGGTTTGTCAGCTCAGTATGAAAACTGCAGCTCAGGAAGAGAAGAAAAAAAGTGATGAGAAAGAGAATACAGATGGTATTACTGTATCTGGTGATGGTTCGTGGAGAAAGCGGGGTTTTTCGTCACTTTTCGGATTCGTATCGCTTATTGGATGGCTTAGCGGCAAAGTGGTTGATGTTGTTATAAAATCAAAATATTGTAAATCTTGTGAATTTTGGGAGAAACAAGAAGACACTGAGAAGTACAAGGAATGGATCGAAACGCATGAAAACGAATGCCAAGCTAACCACGAGGGCTCCGCCGGAAAGATGGAGGTGGACGCCGTCATAGAAATGTTCCAGCGCTCAAATTCTTTGCACAATTTAAAATATGCAAATTACGTGGGGGACGGAGATTCTAAAACTTTTAAAGGTATCATGGATTCAGAGCCTTATGCTGATTTCACAGTTATGAAGAAAGAGTGCATCGACCACGTACAAAAGCGAATGGGTACTCGCCTTCGCAATTTAAAAAAAAATACAAAAGGACTCGGAGGAAAAGGCAAGTTGACAGGTAAATTGATCGACGAGTTGTCAATTTATTATGGATTAGCTATACGCCGCAATCATGATTCCGTAGAAAAAAATGCGGAATGAAATTTATGCGACGCTATTCCATAAAATATCAACCGACGAAAAACCGCAGCACGAAAAATGCCCGTCCGGAGAAAATTCGTGGTGTTCATGGCAAAAAGCACAGGCCATTGGTAATGTCGATTACAAGCATAAACCACCTCTCTCGACTTCAGTTTTTGAAGCAATTTTACCAATTTATAAAGAATTAAGCAGCGACGATCTGCTTACTCGTTGCATCGGCGGCTATACTCAAAATAGCAACGAGAGTTTCAATTCGACAGTTTGGTCAATGGCTCCGAAATCGACCTCCAGTGGCAAGCATGTGCTTGATACTGCCATATATATCGCTGTAGGTATATATAATGATGGCCTATCAAGTGTTATGAGGCTCATGCAAAATTTAGGCATGAAAATTGGGACGAATTGCTACAATTTCTGCGTCGAAACGGACGAGCGCCGCATCAAGTATTCGGAGCGATCGCTGACTAATGCTGCAAAAGAGGCCCGATTGCTTTTAAAATCATCCAGGAAGGAAGAAGAAGAGGCGAGTATTAATCTGGATGGCCAAATGTATGGTGCAGGCATCGCTGATTAAAGGTAAACATAAATTTCAAGCATTTTAAGTGCTCGTGAAACTTTAAACGCGTTTTTCTCGAAACCACTTTTTTCAATCTTAGCGAACACATTACTTCAACACGGTTGCATGGATCAGTTTGAAAATTTGACAGTAGCTTCACAATTACATCCTTTATAGAAGTACGTAGGGGTTTTTCGATTCGATGTAAACTTTTTATTTTATAAACAATTTACTGCTTATTTTTTGGCATAAAATTGAATTTTTTTTTCAAAAGTGCACCGTTTCTGCAAAATTTGATAAAATAAAAAATCCCTACGTACTTCTATAGGCAATAGTATGTAGATTTAAAATTTTTTTGGTTTTTTATTCTAGGTCTTATAGTTCACGAGAAATTGGTTCGCTAATGGAAGCGTTTTTTAAAAACGTCATTTTGAAGATTGTCTCTCTCGTCGCCATTTTGTATAAAAAATAATAAAAAAATTTTTTTCTATACTTAAATATATGCTCAATAAACCTTCTCAAGAAAAATTCCCATTCCTTTTATTATATTCTCAAAAAAAATTGTCAAAGTTAGGTCTTTTTTTCGACCGCTAGAGTGGTGTTACCCCTTAATCAATTTTTACCTTAACAGTATATGGAGATGAATTAGCAAATATATATCCAGAAATATTAGTTACTCCAGCATAAGAGGCATAATCGGATTTTCGAATGTCATCGTAAAATTCATAAGAATCTTTTACCCATTTTCTTGAAAAATAATAATTTTCTCATATATAAGATGCGATAAAAATTGTAATTAGCGTGAAGATTAATAGAATGAACCTCTTCGTACATTAATTAAATCACATCTTTTTCGATTTGCATCACGATTTTCAATGCACACAAATAGTATTATATATTATTATTTAGTACAGTATTGTTTATATTATTATTATATATTACTATACATATTATCATGCCGTTAACTTTTTATGAGAGTTATTTTTTAGAATGACACCAAAATCTCTGATGAGAAAAATTATAGTTTTAAAATTTTAATTTTGGACAGAGACATTTTTATGTATATAATACATAAGTAAGTGCATGAGTAAGTATATGAGTATATTAATTTTTTTAACATACAAATATGAAGATTTATGTCAATAAGTAAAGTAACAAAAAGCTTATTACTTACTTCGTTACTTTCTCATTAGAGTTACCGAATGAAGCACCGACTCTAAAAATTCCTGCAGCCACATGACTGACAAGATCATCATAATCCGAAGCCAAAACTGTTATATTAGCATTACGAAAAGATCCATTTTGTGTAATTAAAGCTGTCGTTAATCCGACAACTCCACCACCAACGATAACTATTTTCATTTCGCTTTTTTCGCACTATTATCACAATACCTATAAAAATAGTTACAAATTAAAATTTAAATATCACGAATAAACTGCGGCATTATTTGACAATTATCTGTCTTTGACTGTCAGGAATTATTCACGGTCTTTATACGCGATATGTTAGTATTAAAGTGTTTACGGTACTTGTATATGCGTTCTATTTATATACTATATCTATGATGATATAAACTGCTATTATCTGTTAAGTGCTTTTATCGCATACGATACATATATTTTTTTACAAAAGCGCAATATTTTATCACGTATTACCTATTAACTTTTCTTTGAAAGATATTGAAAATTGAAATTCGATTTTCGATATCTAATTATAAAATAATAGAAAATAGAATTATAAATCCAGTTACATTTATTAGACTTTTATGTAAAGTACTATCTATTTTGTAATAATATATTTCTGTTAATTTCTTTTTTATATAATGAGCAAAGGCACAATATATTAAATGATATAAATATGCGTGTGATAATATTGAGCGATGTTGTGAATTTATCTACATAATATATATGCATATTAACATGATGTTATCTCGCATTAAATCTTATAAATATTGCATAATACTTTGCAATTTTTCACTAATTTCTAATTTCTCTAGAGCACTAAATTAATAAAAAATATAACTGCAAATGTTATCATAAAATCCATAAATACATAAAGCATAGAAGAAGACAGTACAGTAATACTAATTATTGTTTTTATAAAATCGAATTTCATATTTTTGTATATACTTTGTCATTATACATTAACGATAAGATGTATTTCACACGGCAGTAAGAAAAATTGCACAGGGATCTAATTTTAAGTCGTATATAATCTGCATTCGAGTCACGTGTATTTGTGACAAATTATATATAATACAATGTGTATATACATTGCATTTTTTCAGATATGCTCTTATAATAACAAATCTCGCTAACAATACATCATTGACAATTAATTACAATATATCCATTGCTATAATTTTCTAATAGATTCAATATTTTTCAATATCGAAAAATATACGAATATACGAACTGAATTATATATTAGTAATTAGTATAAATCTCCTCATTAATAGAAAGCCATTTGATGCATGCCAAACATTATCTATTAATTATATAATGTATGTTTACTTTTCAAAAATTACTTCATTCAAAATTTTAATGCTCAAAAACGTAATATGAATAAGAACAAAGAGAATAAAAACAATTTTCGACATCAAAGCTTGATCATTATCAAACGATTTGCTAGATGTTCGGATAAAACGCTCTCTTACACAAAGAAGAAGAGAAAAGAGAAAGAGAATGACTTTCTGTTAATAAAACAAAGTCTTTCTGTTAACGAGGAAATACTACATAAGTTACTAAAAATTACGGACGCAATGGATTAAGATTTATAACGATTTCTTGGTCGGGAAGTCGTAAATATATATTTACAATATCAATGGGTATTCTCCGACAACTTCTCTTTTCTATCTTCAACTTCGACATTAAATGTATACAGCTCTCACTTTTACTATTCAATCTTCAATTGCCATAGATATATCTCTCTCTCGCGCGCGCGCGCGTTTGAGAAAAAAATAGTATAAAAAAATTCACAAAATCTGCTTGATTAGTATTATTTTAAGCTTTACTGCACGGTTGGATGGTATAATTTAGTGGAGGAGGTGGGACCAGAAGAGGCAACGGAGTTGGCGGTGGTGGAGGTTGAACAGATGTTAAGGAAGTCGTAGTCTGTGATTGTTCAACTGTTCGAACCGTTGTATTGTAAACGGAAAGATAACTGGGCCAGAGATGCGGCGGCGGTGGAGAACCAGGAGGCGGCGGTGGTGGCGAACGATCATCCATTTCATCAGAATCGTCCATCATCATAGCTGTCAATGGAGTAACGCGCGGTTTCTTCAATTTGATTATCTTTACCTGTAAAAATTTAAGAGAGAAAACATATTTTAAGTAATATTGATTAAAAAATATTTTTTTAAACTTTTTTAGAAATTAAAGAACGATAAATCGCGTGTACCTTGACTTTTTTCTTTGTCTTTGGTGGTTTCGCTCTTTTTTCCTGTTTTCTACTCTTCCTTGAGCTATAAATTTTATCTCTCTTTAAATCCTTGAGTCCTTCACGCAAATCTATTCTTTTAGGAGGTGGCGGTGAAGGCATATCACCCTCGCCACCACTCGGGCTCGTGCCTTCACCAGGCTTTATGCCATCAGCAAACTGAACTGATTTTTTGCTCCTGTTTGTTTTTCTCAATAGTTTTGCTGATTTTGATGTACCAGGTTTGGCATCAGGTCCTGCATCTTTGTTACTTTCATTGTTCTTTTCCGTTTCCTCGTCTTTGTCGCTATCATCCTTAGTATCGTTATCTACATCTGATAAATCATCCAAATTGCCATTGGGAATTGAGTCTCTTCTGGAAAAAATCATTTATTTAATGAGATAACTATGCATGAATGTTAATAGAGTAAAATAATTTACAAATTGGTAAGATAAAATACAAGGATTGAACAATAGAATTCCATCAAAAAATGATATTTCTAAGAGATATTAAAACTAATGTCAACGAACCTAAATCCTGGTGCAATCAAAATGCCTTTTAATGGCGGAGGTGGTAATTCTGGCCATTCTTTCGCAATTTCGATTTCCGCTTGATCTTTATTCACATCGGCGGGTATCGTTGCTTCATCAATTTCGATTCGTTGATTATTCATTTGCGATGATTTCTCGTCATCATCATTATCATCTTCATCTTCATCCTCCGCTTCTTCCTCCTCTTCCTCATCATCTTCCGCTTCGGCCTCGACTTCGTCTTCATCCTCATCTTCATCTTCATCCGCGGCAGCATCTTCGTCTTCTTCCTTTACAGATGCTGCTGTCTCCTCCTCTTCCTCTTTTATAGAATTAGTCTGGGATGGCGAATCAGTTTCAGCCTGTTCCTCTCCCTCTTTCAATGCTTTCAGAACAGATGGATCCACAACAGAACCCTTACGACGATCCAACAAGACCTCGCCAGTTTGTCGCGACATATTGTTCTTCTCTAGAGATCGCAGAGCTCGTCGATTAATTCGCTCTATTCTTTTACGTTCCTTCTCTTTCCTGCGTAAGTCGCGTAATCTTTTACGCTCTTCTCGCTCCTTGCGGCGTGTCTCGAGTATAGCTTCGTAATTATATACAGGTTGAACCATTTCTATAATGCAAAAATATTTATTGATGTAGAGTTGTATGAAAAATTCTGGACAGAAAACTAATTAACATATTTATACGTACTTTGTGATCGAATTTCATTTCTCGGGAATGCTGTTGCTGTCGTAGGAGGAATTGGGACGGGTATAGGAACAGGTATTGGCAATGGTAGCTGTAGTGGAGCAGCGGGTGCGACGCTAGGAGGAGCGAGAGTATTCGTTCCGGTAGGTGGAACGGGCAACGGGACTGGAACAGGAATAGGTACGGACATGGAAACGGACGTCGTCGGCGAGGGTGTCGGCACTGAGGAATACGAAAGTCCATTCGATTGATCCGCAGTCGTCGATTGGTTACTGCTCCAGTCTAACGACGTGGGTACTACTTGAAGAACATTACCTACGCGGACCACCTGGCTGGATCCGGGCCGCACAGGCGGAGTCGTACAGGTTGCAGGCCGTACTTCTCGTCGTGCTGATTGTACTCCGTTGAAATCAGCAGGTACCACTTGTAAAACATTCCCAACCTTAACACAGGAGAAATAATATTTTAAAAATAGATAAATACAAATATAATTAATATATATATATAATATATAATAAAAGTATTTTATAAATCAAGTACTTGTAGAACAGTAGGCTGTTGTCTGTACATCATTTGCTGTTGCTGTTGTTGAGGTGAAGACGGATACGCGATAACGTTGGAATTGAAATTGGAAGAATAATCTGAAGATATTCCAGCAGAATCCTTGTTGTGCTGTTTCTTGATACCTAATTCTAATTCTAATCTGTAATTAATATGTTTCGTATTATATATGCAGTTGATTCTATTACAAATAAAATATATTTAAACAAAAAACGCAATATAAAATTGATTTTTAAAATTATGTACGGGGAGAATAAAAGGACCTAATGCAAATCCTTACCTATCGTCAAGCGATAAACGTTTCGGAGAGCTGGTGGTTGATTCATCTATGCAAGGAGGATAAGTTAAATTATTTTCCGTATAATAATATTCATTTCCGGCTTCAATTTCATTTAGATATTGGAAATTCGCTGCGTCCATATTGCCACTAATACCCATTTCTGAGTCTAAAATGTTCGTTCCCGATGCAACCCCCGACTGAACTATAGTCTCTATACGTCTACCTCTTTCACTACAAACATTGAGCTTTCTGTTTTCGTCCTCGTCCTTTCTTTCTCTTTCTATTTCGTTCAGTCTACTCCTTCCAGGCGAGGGCGATCTATATACAAAGAAATATCCAGATTAGGGATAAGACATCTTAGAATTTAATTGTGTGAGTTTAATTCTACCTTGAAGAACGCAATTCAGACATTCTCAATCCACGTTCCGGACTTCTCAATCTTGACGTAGAGATCGATCTCGCACTCGATCTTAAGTCCGATGGAGATCTGCTTCTAGATCTCGACCGCGATCTCATTCTCAGTCTTGATCTTGATGTTGATCTAGAACGTGATCTAGATCTTGTCCGCGATCTTGATTGAGACCAAGATCTGGAGCGGGATTTAGATTTTCGTCGAAATCGTTCCTGTCGAATTGGTGAATATCTTGTCCGCGGCGGTGTTCGATTTCGTAATCTATGTCCATGACGATCCAAATCCGAATCTTTATCCTTTTCCCACTGCCAATCCCTCCTTGCGCTCGATCTGCCTTGACTTAACACAAAATTTCTCATGTTTATTAAACACTTTTCATGCGACATATATAGAAATAAAGTTAATATTGATAAAGATTTCAACGATGATGTTTTCTCATAACATTAATTTAACCCCAAACTCGCCTTAATATAAATAGATAAACTCATATTTTTTATGAATACCTTCTCCTATAGTTCGACTGTGGTTGAGGCGAACACTGTATCATATCCCTTTCTACACTTTCTTCTCCATAATATGTTCGATCCTCATACTCATTCGGAGGCAAATCGTGTCCAGCGGGATAAGAATCCATAGATTCATTACCATCTCGCAAGATATTGCTGTTTTCATACTGCCAAAATGTATGATCCAATTCCTCTGTATGAAATCTAGAAATATTTGCATAATCGTAATCGCAATCCATTGCGACATTATAAATAATATGAATAATAATACAAATTCTATCTTTGTTTTATTACTCTTATAAGTTATTATATAGTGAATTGTATATAAAATGTTTAAATATATACTATATAATATTTTCAAGAAAATATTTTAAAATAATACCTGTTATCTCTATATTTCTCAGATTCCAGATTCGTTCTTTCTCTCAATAATTCCATTGGATCATAAGCTCTAACATCTTTCTCACGTTCAACGCTATCATATCTCCTTCTACCCCAATCATCACGATTATTCTTAGAGAACGTAGAACCATGCTTTTTGAAATTATCTATAAGCAGATAAAAGCAATATGATTATTTAAATTAGGATATAAATTTATTGAGAAATAACAATCGGACAATCTTTCTTACCTTCATTGTAGGAAGATCGCGGTGAAGATCGCGCGTATCTTTCTCTTCTCTCATCTGTTCGCAGTCTATTTGCTCGTTCATCGTCGTATCTCTCTCTCCTCTTATCTCTGTCTCTACTAGTAGTAGCCTCGTCTTTTCTCTTTGGACTCCTGCTGCGACTTCTGCTCCAACTGTGACCGGGACTTCTACTTCCGCTTCCTTGTCGTTCCCACGAGGCGTATGGACTTCCGCTCCTTTTTCCTCGTCCTCCTGCAGGACTCAACTTTCTTCGGCTATCTGCAAAGTCCGCTTTGAACCCTTTGCTGTCCCTTCTGTCAGACTTTTCTCCATCGTCGGATCTCCTTTCCTTCTTATCTCTATTGTAATCATGCGAATATCGTTTCTCGTTCTCTTTCTTTACAGGACTCTTTTTTCTATGTTCTCTAACAGGAGATCGTACACCCGATGTATTGGTATCATTTCGACTAATTTTATATTTTTTACGTCATCGCTCTTGCTTTCTTTGTTGTCATACTTTTCAGACCGTTCAGATCGAACAGAGATCGCCTTCTCCGAAGCTGGAGATTGCTGTATCGTTATTACCGACGACTTGGAAGCCACAGTGAATTCAGTCGTGTTTAATAATTTGTCGACTTTATTACTTTCCGTATTATACGTCGATTTAAATTGATCTGTTGACTCTTCACTCGGTAATTTTTGAATATCAGTTTCTAATACGTGTGATTCTAGCAGTTTCTTTTGTATCGTCAACAACGCTGCCGCATGCTGAGCAGGATCCTGTAACGGTGTTTCCAGGATACGTTTCGATTTTACTTGTTCGTTAGTACGTCGGATCAGAAGCTGTTTAGGAATAAGTTTAAGAGTGGTTTTGTCCATATTCGTTTCGTCATCTTTTGTATGCATTGTCGAACCTGCATTGGAATTTATAGTATGTTGCTTACTACGTGATCCTTCTCCATACTCGGCGAAAATATCCATACATACGGACTGAGAATTATGCGCTTCCGGGCATAATTCGTTTATCGATAAGTTGTCAAATAACTTGTCAGTTTTCTTAGTTTCAAATTTATGAGCGGAGCTTTTATCCTCCAATTGTACTTCGTCTAAAATATTCTCAAGCTTTTCGTTTGCTACATGTTTAGTATCACGCAGTTTTGTTAACTGTAATGGTATACCAGATGTAGGAATTGACAATTCTTCTGTTGCAATCAACATCTCTTTCTTCCTCTTCTTACAAGACAAAGAAGTAGAGCTACTGCTGTCATTGGATCCCTCTATGTCCTTTAAATAACAAAAAAATAATTGTTTAAATAAAGAAAAATCGATTAATTAATTATTAAATATATCTAAATAAAAATAATAGCAAATACTAAATTCAGTTATCGACGAGTTTTATACTGACACAACGTTCTCTCTCTTTTTAATGTGTGACAAGAATGCTAATAATTTTTTGAGTGGTTGCAAATTTAAGTTTACTCTTCATTACAATGTATGTACTCATATTATTTACATCCTATTTTCTCTTTATGTATATTAATGTTTCTTTTTCAAATTATTATATTAATTGTATTATTTCAGTTTGTACTTAATAAGAACTACAACCATATGGTCGAAACGTCATAATTTGAATAAATAAAGTTTGGCTAGTTTGGTCGATTATTTAAAAAAAACTGATTTTGTTATTAATTTACTAGTAATACTAAGATATTTTAATTTTTTAGTTTTAGAACAATATTCTCAGCATTATTTCGTCGTATTTAATTAATAAAAAATGTAATTATTTTTTATTTAAAATTTGTTATTTCAAATCACAGATTAGTCTGTAATTCTTTTATATCTGTAATCATTTTGTGAATGTAAGCGTATTTATTTGCAAGAAAAACTCACCTGGGACTTTTGAGAAAGCGCTGGAGAGCTAGGACTGTATAGTTCTATGGTTTTCTCTTTAAATTTTGCACTCAACTCTGAAATTTCAATTTTTTTAAATTTATTTTCAGCCTGATCGGTAGTGATCTGCTCCTCGTTTGTTTTCACAGAAATTAAATTTTTCATTGATGTATTTTCTACTTTCTTTGTTTGTAGAGAGCTAGTTGCCAATTCTTCTGCTGTCCATGTCTTTTCCAATGATTCTCTATTTTGGGATTTTTTATGATAAAAATCTATCACATCAGATTTAGCTGAACTTTCTGAATAAGTTGCTTTTTCTGTCTCTTCATGTTTCTGTTCACATTTATTAAGCTTGGACCATTCTGAATATTCTTCCTCCCATATATCTTTAGTTTCTGATTTCTCTTCGGAATGTGACCCCATATCCCAACGACTCTTTCTAACTCGTTTAGAACCAATCGATTCAAATTTAATTTCTAATTTATTTGAGTCTTCCTTGACACTTAGATCTTCATTTGATTTACTCCATTCTTTCTCTATCCCAACAATATCGTTAACCTTATGAATTTCTCTTTTGTCATTATTCTTGCATAAAAATGATTCCTCTTCTATATCCCAATCGTCTTTTTTATGTTTATTCTTCTGTTTCAAAAGCATCATCTCTTCTCTTTCACCTTCCTCTTGTTCTTCCTCCCATATTCTTATTGCGCACAAACGTTCCTGCCTGTTCTTCATTTCTTTCGCTCTTTCCTTTTCTATTGCAATATAAGTATCCGTTTTTTCATCATATCGAACTTCTTTTTCCATCTTCTTTGATATATTTTGACTACTTTTCCGTTTGCTCAAAATCAAATCTGGTATCGCTTCTAAACTATCTACTTCCCACTCATCAGCCAGGAGTTTTTGGCATACCTCTTTTTCAAGTTGTGTCAAAGATGGCACATTCAATGTATCAAAATCTGTCTCTCCCCATTTTTCCTTCTTTTGTTTCTTTTCCAATTTTTTGGAAAATTTGTCGTTTTGTATTATTTGTTGATTAATCCGCTCATCTTCCCTTTCCCAATCTGCAAGAAACTCGGTGCTGCTTCTAACATCTTTCTCCTTTCTCTTTTTTCTTTTTACCTCAAGTTCCTCATCTGATCTTTCTTTTCCTTCATGAATCTTTTCTTCATTGATCTTAGACGATCTATCTTTGTCTTGTGTAACATTATCTCGGCTACGCTTTCGTTTCTTTCGATATGTACTTTTTCGGAACTATCCGACTTTCCCAATTCGCCAGTATGATCTCGACTTGAGTCACCATCATTTGACTGCAGTGCTATCATAGAATCTTGCCATTGTTCCATGAAGCTTTCGTCGGATTTATTTTTCCTTTCTCCTTTCTGCTTCATGCATTCATTGTCATGTACACTCATACCAGTAATGATTTTTCTTGATGTAATTTGATCAGTTCTTTTTTTATCTTTAACTATACCTTCTTCTTTAATTTTCTTTATCGAAGTTCCTGAATGCAATACTTTTGCCTCATCTAAAGATGAAGCTAGGGAGGTTGCAGGAGACTTGGATATTATCTTGTTTATATCTTCATTATTAATAGATTTAGTTTCCTTTGCCTTCTTCTTGAGCTTCTTCTTTTTCTTCCTATGTTCGTCTGACTCGCTGCTGCTGGAAGTACTCATTTTCCTCCTTCGCTTTTTCTTTGTACGTGCAGCACGTCTTGCCTTCTTTCTTTTCTTTCCAACTATCTTCTTCTTTCGCTTTTTTTTCCTTTTTTCGTCCGAGCTACTGGAGTCGCTGCTACTACTGCTACTACTGTCTGTGCTATCGGAGTCCGAGGAAGACGAATTACTTAATATTTTCCGTTTTCGTTTTTTTCTTTTTTTTTCTTTTTCCGAATCTGAAGAGCTGGTACTGCTAGATGAATCACTGCTGGACATTACTTTTTTTTGTTTTTTCTTCTTCTTGATTTCTCTCGATTCAGTGTTCTCGTCACTTAATCGTTCAACTTTGATTCTAACGTTTTCCCAATCACTGGGTATTGATTTAGAATCTTCAGATTCATCATTACTGTTTGTACATTCAATTTGCATATTATTTTCATTTATCTGTATTTGACAGTCTATGGATGTAGTAGATTCCTCACATTCTGTACTCTTTATTGACCCTTCTAAAGTTGACAGTTTATCTTTTTTCTCTTTCAATGGTATTTCGATGTCCGTGTTATCTTCTGCCAAGTTAGATTCTATGTTGAATTCATGATAACTATGTGGCGAAGCAGTTTTAACAGGATTTTTCTTTGGCAAATATTCCTTAGTCACATCACTTCCAGTGACACATACCATCTTCATAAATTGTTCATATTCTGAAGCTAACTTTTCATCTCCAGTAGATTGTAGCAAAGGAGATTTTGAAGCTTCGTCATTTGTCGTTGTATTGTCGATTGTTTTTTCACTAGATTCATTATCTCCTTTAGTGTCTTCGGTATTGTTATCAACCTTCTCTTCATCAGTTATGCTGGAGGATGTGGAACATCTCTCTTCTTCTAAAACAAAAAATAATTTTTATTTCTAGGATTTCAATATTTATTATATACATTATTTCTATTGTAGGTATTTTATGTAAGTTCACGAGAGAGAGAGAGAGAAAGAGAGAGGAGTCGTTAGCCAGCTATGTTTTGTTGTTCGACTTTCGTTGTATGTATATCATCTTTGGTAAATATTATTTGTTTTGTCGTGAGAATTGAGAGCTCTTCAAGAATAGGGCATACATGTGTAACGCGCATATAAAAATCTCGATTTTCAGGAAAGCTAAACCTTCTCTCTCTGAACACCACAGAAGAATCATCAATTCGCAATAAACGATATATAGCAATATACATACGACGTTCTCTCGTTATTATTAACGTTGACACTCCGCACCTCGATCCTAACTGCAGCATCTTTAATATAAAGAGGAAAAAGCGGCCGCCCGTAATACATTAATTATCTGAGTGAGATCTCTCTCGCTCTCTCTACGCGAGTTCGGCCTACTACACTATTATCAAAAACTACTTACGTTGAATTACAGAAAGATGTAGTTTATTTATTGGTTTTTCAATTTCTTCTTTTGCTGCACTGACAGATGTCATTTCTTCATCTTCGCTATCCCATTTTGATTTAGGAAGTTGTATAGTCACTTGCCACCTATCATTTTTATATGTGGTTGCATTTATTTGCTGATACCAATTACGCTTTTGTGGCGCTGCGTCTTCTGTATCGAATCTGTAATTACAAAGATCTGGAATAGGTAAAGAAAGATTTGAATAGAAACTTGCTATTTAATTTAGACATTGCGATATACCGTGGTGAAGAGGCTTCGCATATGTCTCGCATTTTCTCACGACGTTCAGGAGCCACAACTTGTAGAAGTTGCGAGATGTTTAAAAAAAGAGACATGCGTGGATTTTCACAGTACAGTAATTGAGGTCCCTTCGCTCGTTTCGTTGTTTTAATCGATTCAGGTGGATACTTTTTAGGTCCGTCAAGTCCTTCAGCTATTAATGCTTGACGTTTCACACGATGATTATTTAACATTAACATATGTTCGAGGTAACGCGTATAATCTTGTGCTGTTCTGAAACACAAACACACACACGCATACATATATACATGCGCACACGCATACGTGTATTAATCTTAAATTTTGTTATTTAAATGATTATAATTGTACTATACCTATTTCTTGAAGATCGTTCTGTATTGTCGCGTCTTCTAAGTTGACTGACGTCATCAAGAGTTAAACCAAATTTTTGTAATTCCATCCAAGAATTACACTTCAATAATTCTTTTTCTTTCAATTTATCTTTATCTTTTTCCTTTTTGTCCTTACCTTCTGCTTCTATTTCCAACATATCATTTCGTTTGTCTTTTGTATTCTCTTTCTTATTTTTTGTTCCTTCTCTTTTTTCTCTTGACTCCTCCCGTTTCTCTTTTTCATTTTCTTTCTTATCCTTGTCTTCCTCTTTCTTGTCGCGACTTGAGTCCACTTTATTATCATCTCGCTTATCCTTATCATCTTTCCTTTTCTTTTCTTTCTTATGTTTTTCTCTGTCCTGAGATGATTTTTGTGTAGAACGTTCAACACTTTCATTTCGATTCAGCACCTTTACTTCTCGATTTGAACTATCTCTATCAGTTTTATTACGATGTCGATGCCTTAAAAATTATAAAACAGAAAACAATAATAAAGAAGACATATTGTATAAGAAATGTGAATTTTATTAAAAAAAATGCCGCTTTCTACCTTTCGGAATATTTTCGGTTTATTGTTGATCTACTTTTACGAGAGTCGTTTATTCCCTCACGTCTGCTTCTTTCTTTCATATGTCTTTTACTCTCCAATAAATCAGATGTATTCTTGCTAGTATGATTTTCGTCTTCCATACTTGCTACAAAAAGTTTTTGTCATTGAATTTTGTGATTAATGTCTCATATTAATTTTGATTATATGAAAATAATACCTGCTGCCATGGCTAACATTTTACTTTTAGATTCTTCTCTTCGAATTTCTTCAATGGCTAGAATCTTTTCCTCTACAAAAAATTTATAAAAAAGATTATATTATATCAATTATATAAATAACATGCGGAAAACAGAGCCAATTATGAGCCATGGTAATTGATATGCAAACGAATAATGATAAATTATCTATATAGTTTATTAGTACGTTTCGGTTTTACGTTCGAACCATCTTCAGCATCTGAGAAAAATAGTCTGAAGTAAGTAGTTTAATTGGCCCTGTTTTCCGCATATTATATTTATTATCGGAGCCATTTACCGACGGTCTTATTAATTATATAAATATTAGATTCATAATTTTTAAACTATTATAATTTAAAAAAAAATTAAATAATTAATCTTTTACTTTCTAGAAATAGAAATTAAAATTGTAATTTTACTGCTAATATTATATTTGTAATTGAAACGAAATTCTAATAATGCCTTAATATATTGTACAAAAAATTAATATATATTTTGTTAAATTCTTTATCAATGCTTATATATAGTTATATAATAAGGATGATAATTGTGAGATGCTACCTGTATATTAAAATATACACATTTTATAGTATTATATACCTGTCTTTTTTCGTGATTTATTTGTATTTGTATCATCTTGCACTGTTTTATCTTTTGTTTTTGAAGTGGAATGTTGCGAATTTGATTTAATTTTGGACTTGGGTAATACTTTAAACTGATTAGCAAATGCCATTAATCGTTTTTTTGCTTGAATTTTTCCAAGCACCGGTTTGACAGTCTTTGGACTCTCTAATCTTGATGTATCGCCATCGCTTATCTGTCCTTTGGTACTCTCCGGTGTTTCTGGCATTTGTATGTCTGACAAGCATATTGAGGTATCCGGAGTTGGATCTTCCGGTACATAAGCATCTTTTGATTGGGTGGTATCATTTGATTGAGTGTCATCTTTTTCTAATTGTGTTGTACAAAGTAATCATTTAGTAACAAAATTAATTCTAACAAAGTATTTATAATATTTAAAGACTGATAAAAGATATTCTTTACCTGAAAGAGGCACTCTTTCTTCCTCTGCCATTGATAGAGCTTTAATGTCTATCTAAGCTTTATCTATCTGAAAATTATATTATTCATATAATCTCAGACTCAATTAATTCTTCAACCAACATACAGATATATCATTCTGATATTAAAAAAAAAGAGGAATGTAAATAGTATTAATAACATATATCTATATATGTATATTCAGAGTCACACATATAAAGCAGTTTACACAAATCTAATAATAAAGGAATATTTTGTGCTTAATGTTATATTATTAAATTAAATAATCTGCTATGCAAACTGATTGCTTTTTCTCTGGTATTTATCATGATTATAAAAAATAAATATATGAGCACACACAAATACAAATGATTATTCAGAGAAATTATATATATATATATTTAATATTTATAATATACACATAATATATTTGATATTATAAAGATATATAAGTACACTACAGATCGTATGATGAAAAAATTTCACATGTAATGGGGGAATGTGTATATATGCAATTTCTTATAAGCTAGTATATATATCTTGATCTGATATCTTACCGCGTAATTGGTATAACTAAATCACCGAGAAATGCATGATTCAGTCAGTTATTACTGACGTCAATGCACTTTGCGATTAAAATATGAACACAAGATCACGGTAAACGTATTTCTTCCGATGGTCCTCTATTTCTAGCCCCATCGAAGTCAAACGAAATCACGAAACGCACGACGGACATATTGTCCAGGTTGCAGGCTGTTCACGAAGTGGAAAGGTCAGCCTGGCTGAGCGATAATAACTAGATCTCATATGTAGATTTGATTGGTCGATGGTCGAAGAAAGATTTCCTAGTAATTTTTTTCATAAATTCTGATTGGACGCGGATATCTTTGTTCTTTTGCTCTGATTGGTCTATCGAATGCTACTCCGGTGAGTCAATTTACGAACACATCTCAAAAGTATTTCGTGGAAAGTCAAAGGTTGGCAGGACTGAAATGTCATTTTGGTTAGGAAACCTAACTTAGAAGGTAAACTTTGCTCCTTGGAGATGTAAATGAAAAATGTAATTATATATATAAATTAATATATTCACAAATCTATATATAAATTAATAGACTTGCAAATCTTTTATGGATCAGAAAGAGATGTGTGATGAAATGTATAAAATTTGAATCTCGATGATGAATATGTCTTGATTGAAAAGGTACATATGTCAAGTTTAAAGAAAGAACATCAACATGATAGAAATCACGGCGAAACTAATTCGTGGTCCTATATATTTCTCCGGAGAAATTATAGAATGTTTGGTGACGTTTACTAATCCTCCGAATCCGAATCATCAAATATCACAAAGTCACAGGTACAGTATACATATATTGTTAATGACGTATTGTCATATGATAAATCATTACATTTGTAAAGTTAATTTACGTTCTTTTATAGTGATCTATTTGAGAGTCTTGCATGGGCAAGCGCACAGGTACATTGCCAGTGTACAACGAATAGCAAGATAGTGCTTTCGGAGAAAATAAATATTACAGCTCGTTCAGTGGCAATTAATGCAAGTAAGAGAAATTACTTTAACATTTTCTCTATTTTAATATTTTTTTATTTTATTTCTCTATTAATTATGTTTATTATGATTTTGTTGTAGATACTACCTTTGCGCCATGGCAGCAAGACAATGGTCATGTAGTATTAAATACAAAGCCAAAAATTTTGTGCTGTGATTTAAGATTGTCACCTGGAGAAAGTAAGACCTGTAAGTTCATAAATACTCTTAATTCAGAGCTTATATCTAAACTTTTTTGTTTAATAATTTTTGCATATTTTGTTATATTAAAAATTTTTTATTGTGATTATTTAGATATTTATCGTGAAACAATTCCAAGTGATGCTCCTCCTTCATACAAAGGACAGGCTGTAAAATATTCATATAAAATAACAATTGGAACACAAAGAGTGAATACAGTTATAAAGTTATTACGAGTACCATTTAGAGTACTCTCTTTAAGTGGTAATAAATTTGGAAGTTTAAAAAATATATAAGGCAAATATTTATTACTCTTTTACATAAAGTATAATTGTATTGTATTGGTTGCAGAATTGCCAGAGATTACAGCGTGCAATGATAGTGTAGATTTAAGCCCCAATAATCCATTTATGGAAACACAGCATAGAGAAACTCCACTAGATATCGCACTACAAACACTACAGGTTATATATTTTTCTTCATTGTATTTGAATTTGATTTAAGAATTTTATGTAATGTTTTAACGCACAATTATCGATATTTCAGAATTTAACAGCTAGACGCAGTCCGAATTTTTACAACGTGACAAATGGTCGCGGACGAGTAGTGCGATTCTGTCTCTTCAAAAACTCCTACAAACTCGGCGAGGATATCGTTGGAACCTTCGACTTCTCGAATGCGACCGTCTCCTGCGTTCAGGTATCTGTGTCCTTGCAATCGGAGGAGCACGTGTCGGAAGAGTACAAGCGAGGCAAAGTCACTGCGCCGACGTTGATTAGCTACAACAAGCATCATGAAATGTGTCTTGGTCTGAAATACTCCCACTTAGTGCTACCGATACCCCTTCACGTTACTCCGGACTTCACCACCGATTTGGTGACGCTCAAGTGGCGTCTGCACTTTGAGTTCGTCACGACGCCAAAGCTAGTGGAGATGCCTGGCGAGAATACCATCAGCTGGCACGGACCAGCGACTTTGGACGTCGAGACGATGATTTGGGATCTTCCGTTGCACATCCATCCCACCACCACACCGCCGAACACGGCGCAACAGACAAAATACAACACCGTCATATAGCGAACATCGTAATACATAGCGTATGAATGCGCGTATTGTGTATGTCCGGTATATGTTAAAGAGGCGAATTATTTCACTATACTGATACAGCCAACGTGTTGCGAAAATAACGTAGGAACGGAGGAAGAAATTCTCCGTTTCTTCTCCGGCAACTCTTGCGATATACCGTTATTCTGTTATACTTTAGAAAATTTATATTCTGTATGATAATTTATTGTACACAAGAGAGAAAGATATATTTTCGTATATTTATGTATCTTTGTAAGAAAAGTTGCATAATGAAAGAATATGTTAGAATCATTTTTGAGAGCATACTTTCACATCTCCGTGATAAGTTTTATAATTGTATCTTTGACTATGTATCACACGCGCGGGTAGCACTTTACTGCGTATTAAATTCTTAATGCAGGATTGCTTCTACTCAGAGTAATAGTTTCTCCGAAGATTAATGACTTTGTAGGAATGATATATTACAGCGGCGAAGAAAAATAGACAGACTGATTTAATCTCTATAAATAAGGCACTCGTATAAATTTTCCTTTTTACATAATTCATAAGATTTGCTACTTTTTTAATTGCACTTTTTTCAGCAATCTTATTTTTCCTATTTTTTTTCTTTTCAACCTGAATATATTATTTTGTTTCAAAACGAATAAAAAGCTTACAGCTAATAAGAACAGACCTATATAACGAAACAGTAAAAATTTCTTTTGCATAATTTTAATTATTCAATTTTTTTCTTTATCCCTTTGAGTATTATTAACGCCTACGTATGCGCTTAAAAAAGATACAGTTCAAAGACTTTGTTAATTAAATGTTGTCAATGACACCGAGTCTGTGACCAAAAAAATATAAAATCCAGAATGTGGCGAGTGTAATTACAGCGTTTCTTCGTTGATGAAAAATGTCTGCGCTCATTAGAACAGCGATACTTTCTTTAAAATACTCAAAAGAGGTCGATCGATTTTTCGGAAAAGACGAGATTATTGGTGGCGCGCTTCGTAAGGGAACTGTCGATCGTCCTGGTCGACCGGCAGCCTCGACTGCAGGGATGATACCAGGGTCGGCGGCGACGGGGTAGCGAAAGGCGCGTGATAATCGTATCGGTAATAAGCCAGAGATTCCCATCGACCTGGATGCTGCATTTCATAGGACGTCGGTGGACCCGGTGGAGGGGTCGCGTAGAAGCCGCCGGGTCGATCGGGCACGCTGGGCATGGCGTAGCTGTACTGCGGCTCCAGCAGACTCTGCAGATGCCTGATGTATGTGATGGCGTGGCGCAACGACTCGATCTTGGAGAGCTTCTTGCCGGGCGGCTTGCAGATCGGTAGCTTCGACCGGAGCAGCTCGAATGCGCGATTCATGTCGCGCATTCGTGTGCGCTCGCGATCGCACGCCGACTTCTTGTAGTCTGAAATCGTTAATTACCGGAGTTAACGACTGTTCTTGCCCTGGTATACGCGCACTCGTCGTCGTCGTCGTCGTCGTCGTCGTCGTCGTCGTCGTCGTCGTCGCGACAACGACTTACCCGAATGATTGAACGAATCGCAGGCTTTTTTGATTCGGGGCTGAAATCGAAGTTTTTAGAAAAGCACTTCTTAGCTGATAAATTATATAAATATATATATGAGTAATATTTATACATAAATTTATATTAATTATTATATTAATATATTAATATAAATTATATAAATTCTTGAAATGGAAATTGACAAATGTGAGGAGAAATTTTATGAAAATAATTAGAGGTTTTTCTTTTTGAATTATAAACAATTAAAAATAAATGCGATTTTTGCTAATGAATTATCATTGAGAAACGTTTGACTTTAAATTGATTATAGAGAGAATAGGTCATTAAAACTAATGATATTTAGTTGATAAATTATTCAATTTTGTTAATAGAAAAGCACTACGTATCAGAAATTAAAGTACGATGTTTCATTCAAAATTAAATATGAGAAATCGTAAAATTAATTCATAATTCATAATTCGAGATACATTTCTGTCGTCAAAACAAAAAAGAGACCAATTGATTAATAAACACAAATATGTGCATAAATTTTGAGTATTTGTAAAATGTCCAAGAAAAATAAGCTGAAAAATACACCGTAATACAGGACTAATGGAAAATTTGGTTTAATTATTTTTAAATGGAAGCACGAAATTTGGGACAAAATCGAGAAAAATTAAGAATGACAAACTTGAAAGCAAGCCGCAAAGGTTAGAACCGATTCTTAATTTAGAGCGCAATATGTGTATTATGTAATATTAAATGAAAGTGAAGGTCTAAATGTTTCTGCAAAATATGGGTACGTTACAGGGTATGTTACAGCTTCTCTTTCTTTCTCATAACTTATATATCGTATGTTAATTTCATAGTTTATCGTATATTTAATAAGATGTCATTTAGTTCGCGACGCACATTATGCATGTGATAATTTTTTGCTTATTAAATAGCGTGTCTCGTAAGAAAAAATTATCTTATGTTACAATCTAAGCAATAATACCGTGATTTATCTCGAGATAATTATTTGTTAGTACTTATACAGTATAGATTTTTTGTTTGCTACAAATTATTGTTTGCATTATTCATATTTAAGTTAACGATGTTTTTTAAATTGAAATGCTTATGTTATGTGTGTTAAATGTTAAATTAATTGATCGCGGAAATCATGATAAAATTTAATTAGATTTAATTTTGCACATATTGCAAGGAACACGACTGAACGAAGCACGATACTTTCGACTACCCTTGCCGCATACACGCAAGAGGATGACGATGATACGCGTGATACCACGAGATTCGGAGTTGGATCATTTCCGGATGGTCCAGGGTACCAAAAAACCGAATATCAGAGTCAGGACCGCTCGATACTGCGACAAGACGATAGAATCTAAGCAAAGTTCGGTCGAAATAGCGCTTGTAACATGTCACGGTTCCGAAAACAATGATCCAGAAGTAAGAAGTAAGAATTAAACAACAATAGATAGCCTCTTTTTCTTGACTGTTCAACAATTAAGTAGAAAAATTCATCAAATTAGTCCGTGAGTTCCTGTATATTTGCTATTCGTTATTATTGATCTCTGATAAATAAAATAAAAAAAAAATTGTCGACAGATAGCAACAATTATGGATACTATAAAAGAAATATTTATCATTAATATTGAAAAAAAATATTAATTTTTTGTATACATTTTATTTATTTGTTTTATTTATTTTTTTTCTGTGTTCCAGAGAGTGTGTTGCTTGAAAATATTAGATTGATTTAATATAAATATATATTAATTACAAGCTGTTATACGAGATGAATTTTTATATAAACAAAAAGAGAACATTAAAACTCTATATGTATTATATAAAATGATGTGAGGCAATATATATAAATTAATGCCGATAAAGTATTCATGATATGCTCGTATTTCAAAGCTAGGGAAGGATGTCGAGATATCTGCTTAGAAACCGAAGTCATTGAACTTTCGAGCGATCCACCGTCTTCGACGCAGCAGGAGGACATTCCAACGATTATTCCGAATAATCCTGGAAAATGTGCGGAATTTCCGCAAAAAGACATCGACGATCAATGTCGGCAAATCGTATGCGAGATTGCTCGCAACGAGAAATTGCGGAATCACGCGAAGCATAGCTGCGAAAGCGACGACCGGAAACAGAATTGCGGCGATCGCATTGTCGAGGCCAAGAAGGAGGAAAGATGCGGTAGTAGTTGGTGGAAGGACGGCGGGCAAACAATTTTACATTTCTTTGCCAAGATCCTAGGGAAGCGCGTCGGAATGGACGCTAAGGGACCGCTGGATCGTGTCTCGCCTATCGGCAAACGTGTCAAGCGCGTCTCAAGGGGTGGGAAAAACTATAACGGAGACAGGAGAGGCATCGATGGGGGTGTACGCCTGAAGAGAGTCGACAATGGCTACATTGTCCCAAGTCATGTATATAGGTATAGAATGATTTTATACGGAGTCTAATACCTCTACACAGAGAGAATTTTCTATTAGAATTTACCCTGAAAATCATGGTAATCGTATATGAGACAATATTGGAAGAATTTTATGAGTTAATATTTTTTATTGTGGTGTAAATGTTAATTAGAGAAACTCTAATAAAATTCTGCCAACATCATATAGTTCCATGATTATCATGATTTTCGGGGTAAATTCTCTGTGTAGTCTCTAGGGCAACATGAGACAATATATTCGAAAGAAATTTATAATTTGATTTAAAGAATCTCTCGATCGAAAATCAATGCAAATTTTAATTATATATGAGCATCTTTCGATTTTATTAACAATTTTGCGATTCGCGATTTCTCGCAAGTGTCTCGATTTCAGAAGTTTAAACGTAGATGCGAATTTGGATGCACGTTTGTAAATGATGTAAAAGTGTCGTGTGATGCGTAAAAATGATGCGTCGAAAATGTGCAGCGTGATGCGAAAATGGTTCGCCTTTTTCCTGACCTATATATGTGCACGTACACGTTTCGCCCGAATTGATATTCATGCACATCGTATTCGTAGGAACAAGAGGAGCCGATACGGTGGCGCAAAAGATGAAGAACAGCATCGACCTTCAATTCTCGTGCGACAAATACAACGAACTCGGGACAAAAATCTACGGATGATGCTGTTGGAACGGGAACTTCGCGTACGTTCGCCCAAAAGAGGCTTCACCGCGAATAGCATCAACATCAGACAATTAAGCAGTCCTCTTTGTTGAATCCTCTCCCATTGTAAGAAAAACCTGCTGAAAAAATCTGACCTCGCTTGTGCACAATTCGGAATCGATCATCCCTTCGATTCTTCGAAATGCCAAGGTATCTAACATATGTCGATCATCGCGCGATTTTCTTAAGACGTGTAAGATTAAAGATTTAATCGTGGATGTGGTCTCACCAGGCGACGTGCAATTCGACATTGCCGCACCTTTCTCAGTCTGCGACGGTTCCCGTTGCATCGATTTGATATTAGCTTCGTGGAGCATCTCCAGGTGCGAGTGTCCGCCAATTATTTCTGGTTCCGGTACTCTGATCACGAGCACTCTCTCTCCTTCGGGAGTCTGTTGGCCACGCGTCTCGTAGTTTGCTTCATGCCATCTGCCTCTTACGGACTGTGAACGCGTAGGCTCTTCTACAGGAAACGATACAGTTAATGAGGTTCACTAATGATTTCACTCACTATTAGCCACGTATATATAATAAAAACTGCGTCAAAAAATTGATTAAGTATAATGATGAAGATTAATATCTAATTATCGAGAATCGTTTAATTGTTACGTAATAAGCATAGATAATTTCTTGATGACTTTTGCATTACAGAAGATAAATCAAGATATTTTTCATGCACCTGGAACTAATCCTTGATCCTGTTGATTCACGGCAGAACTTGGTGAACTCACTTCTCGACTCGCAGCTTTCTGTTGCTGCTGTTTCGAATTCTCGTCCAGATCGAGCAATACTGGTGAACGCGCGTAATCTTCCTCGTTACTCTCGTTCTCGGACTGCAACATAAATTAGCTTTTTTGTCTGCACCGAATTTGAGTAATTTTTCGATGAGCCAATCTTGTCTCTCTCTCTCTTCTCTATTTAATTATTTATTTAAATTAAAAAAAAACGAAATATAAAATCACACAAAAAACAACTAAACAATAAACATTGAATGCAAAATATAACGCGTTGCTTTAAATAGCTTAATCCGAAACACAAGAAGTACAAAGTAATATTTTCTGTTAAAAAATATTTATTATGTCAGCGCTATAATTAGCGATATATCAGACTTGCACAAAGTTATAAGAAAACTACGACAATCGGTTCGCATGTTTATCATTTGCGACGCGATTGTGCCATAAATTTCTACCTCATTCTTCGCTGGTTCGGCTCGATATTCGTCCGAATTTTGCTCCATCACGGGTACCCGATCAAGCACAAATGGTATCTCCTCGTTGATTCCTGAATCATCCATCGACGCACCGTAGAGAAACGATGTGGAAAACTGACAGATCACCTTTCTCGCCGAAGTCTCGTAAGGCATATATCACGTGGGCCTAGCGGCCGCGTTTGTTCTCTTGATAAGATGTGGATCGACCGCACAGTCGCGTTTTATTAATGTTAATTTTATCCGTTTATTAAGTATTCAGGTGTTCCACCAGGGGTTCTTAATTCATCGCGACCAGATGGTCGCTGCAAGGAGAGAGATGTACCGAATAATGTTGCGTGCCCTGCTCTCAAATTATAAGTTCAGTTGAAAAGAATAGTGTAATTTTTTTATTTTGTCAAGTCAAACTGAAAAAGAATATTAGCAAATTATAGAAAATAATTGATACAATAATAATGCAAAAAGAAGGTAGTGTACTCGCGAAAAAATTGACGACATAACAGCAATTATTATCTCGTAAAATATATACTGGAACAATTTTTCATGATAATACATTTTTATAATTACATAATCATTTATAGAGAATTTATGCACAGATGCAAAAAGCATCCGTGTAAAATTTGATTAACTTTTTGATATACTAATCGAAGTATGAAAATTCGTGTTTTTATAGATCAATTAAAATCAATAATTTTTGAAAAAAAATTTTGCTTGCAGTATATATATATATAGCTGATGCTTATAATATTTATATATTTTTCTTTCTATATATTTTTTTCTGCTTTCAATTGTACATATCTCTCAGAGAATTAAATGGATATAATGACGGTATCCGGGCTCGAAGTGTCCATACCTGGTGCGCGATATTAGCATATGAGAGCCTCTGGGATGATCGGGATAAAAATGGGAGTACAAACATCGGGACATAATAGACGCTCGACCGATGGAAATACTAATGAGGTGGAACCATGCAAGTATAACAGATCGTGTAAGAATAGCGCACGTGGACGGAGATGCGACGAGAATTATGAATATGATGGAAAAAATTTTAAAGCGTAAATTACATCACGCTTTTGCCAGGTTTTTATGCAATATATGATAAATATTGAGTATCATAAATATTTTCAAGTGATAAAGATTTATGACAATGAATATTTCAACTATATGTTTAATTATAAGAACCTCCCATAAAAGAGCGATACTCTTTTGTACAAGTATTTAGCAAAATACTTTTTTTTATTAATAGCTAAGTTGTAAATTAAGAAATTATTATTTAAAAAGTTGCATATGTGTGTGTGTGTGTGTGTGTGTGTGTGTCGTGCGACATTGTTGTATTGCGAAATGCATTTACACAATAAAAAACTATATATTCACAATATATTCTTTATATTCAAAGCAGTCCTCAAAATGCAAACTTTGTTTCGTTTCCTCCTCAGCCGAATATCTTTGAACTCGCAAGTCGTGAAATTCTAGAAATAAACGACGACGTCATAGAGAGTACATTCGACGCATTTTGACGTGCATCTACAAGAGAAAATAATATATAAATAGAACATTATTTTTATATATGCGCGCTCTCTCTGCTTCTCTTGTGAGTTTTGAGGAATAAAAAGATATGCAGAATACAAGCTTAATCGAAGAAATGAAGAATCATGATTACCATAATTTAACGAATCTTTCTTTATTCTGTAAAAATAATTTGTTATGGCCCCACATAAGTCCTTGTTGAATGCAAAGTAAATCCAAGGATTGACGCAACTCGTGAGACTATTTAGCAGAGCTAGAATAGTGAAAGCAGCTCCTGCGAATTATAGCATAATATAGGCATAAGACGAGATAAATGAATAATTTAAAAGAATTTTGGAATTTTGAGATACCTATTAGATTAAAAAAAGTATATATATGGCATTCCGTATTATTTCGTATTATTGATTTTTAATGATAAATTAATATTGTCAAATATTATAAAATTATACGTATGAATCAATCCATTAAAATTTGATTAAAAAATACCGATGTAAATCGCTAGTATTGTACTAATTATTATTTTTTTCTAGCTGATAATAATATTTTAATTATATTGATGTCATTGTTATTTTACAGATTATTTACCAGTAAAAAATGGCAAAGTGGAAGCTCTAGGATCCCACAATCCCCAGAGCATACTTCCGATAAATGGGATACTAGTGGTAATATACAAAGTAATGACAATGATCGTCTGTCTCACAGTATTCATCATCGCTTTCGAGATTAAAGGATTCCGATTTCGTTGCGAGAAATTGGTCTGATTCTTCTTTTTGAGATCAACTACTCCTGACATCTTACTGCTCATCCATATTGCTATACATATCTTTGTGTACGTATATATAAGTACTGTGAATGGTAATAGGAATTGCATAATACTGTACCTATAATGCAGAAATCAATGTTGTAAAATTTATCTCTATGCGAGTTTGTATGTAATGTACATAGTATCTATATAATATATATATTATTATAAAAATAGATATTATATATATATATATATATATATATATATATAATATTTTATTTCATTTTACCAAAAATGATTTTACATTAGATTTTCAAAACATGATTCAACTTTTTCACAAAAAAAGTGTATTCATTTTATATTACGTGTTTCAATTAAATTGTATTATAAGATTGAGTTATATCTAACAAATCGTCTCTTATTTTCTATTCTGTATTGATAAAAAGTTTGCACTAGTGCATAGATTGTGCAAAAAAAGCTTCTTTATATTTCTTTATAATTAAAAGAAAAGAGGTCTATTTCTTTCCTTCGAAAAAATTATTATATACATATATAACATATGAATGTGAATATTACCAAGTAATATAAGCTCTCTCTCCATATTTCAGGTAAAAGGTGGCCCAACAATCCCAAACGCCTGGCGATATTTCCTGATATGAGAATATAAAAACCTACGAGTTTTAAACAAAAAAAATCCTGTAATTCGTAATAATAAACAGAAGAGCACTTGAAAAATTTATCTTGGCGATCCAGCCAGATTTATACATTTATCAAATATGTCAAGAAATTCGCAGAGGCAAATTCTCGCGTGAAACAAACGGATGATAGATACATTTATAAGCGACAAGTCCGTGCAATTAGCACTCTCATAAATTAGCCCGTCGCGACGCGCGCTATTAGATTTGCGTCCGCTGTCTGCATAGGATAAAAATTAATATCTCAAACAGCTAACTGATCCGTGCCCTTCGTGTAAAGCGAAGTGGCGGTATGAATAAGATACGCCTCGCCAAGAGCAGAGGCGCGAATTAAATTTTCAACGGACCTGCGGTATGCACAGTATAGCTGCGAACGTCCATGCTCCGTATACCATCATTTTCGATCTTCTAGACGTGATGCTGCAGTAACGAAAGGGATGGCAAATGGCGTAATACCTGTCCATCGCGGTGACCGTCAGGACATAGGAACTGAGATACACACCGAATGGCTGTCCGAATTTGACCAATTTGCAGAGCACCGCTCCGCCCTGAAATCTGACGGTCGTTTCGTCAAATTCCGCATTTAACCGCATCATTCATATTAAGTCGAACGATAATAAAATTCGCGCGAAAAGTGCAACACAGAAATTTTCGTAGTATCTTAGAGATATATTATATTTAATAATATATGAAAAAGTATTTTTGCATTCTTTCTTCTGCCTCAATTTTTATTGATTTATTTATTATTCCAAACAACGCACATTATCCAAAAGATATTCAGAGGATATCTAGAGGATGTTCGGATATCCTCTGAACGTCTTTCAAATATGTTGTGCTATTAAGGATTTTAAAATGTTGACGAGTTAATATATAAAAATAATAAATTGTATCTTTATGATACAAACATAAATCATTAAAAAATTAAAACAGCGGAAACTCGTTCTTTTCAAAGTTTCTAAGATTTTTTGAAATAAGATTATATATATGTTTTAATTGTGAAAGTTAAGCACTGATAAAAGCTTCTATTTAAATAAATCCTATCATATGTCATATTTTAATGGTTACATAAATTTTCTGATATTAATTAAAATGATATACATGCTTATGTTGAAGAAATAAAAATATATTTATCTGCACTGATTCTCTTAAAATCAATTTTAATTTCTGTATCGCGTTGTTCTTGAATATTTTAATTTCAGAAATATGACATTTAATATATTTATTCGCTGTCAATCAAAGCATTGAGATAAAATTTGGTTGGGGAAAGTTTTCTGATTCATTTCGTTTCCAGCATATATGTATAATGTACGTATTTGTTCAGTATATATTATTTTACTATTTCCTCATATTTTAAATATTTCTTTTTGCTTAAATAAAAGAATCGATGCGATGCATTACGGTTGTTATCAGTTAAAAATACACGTTCGCATTTTCCTATCATCGATGTCTTGGCAAAAATTTATGTATCGATTAATATAACATAAGCTTATAAAATAATCGCAAGGTCGATCGTAAATAATGGCGCAGCTTACCTGAATGTTATGTCCCAAGCAAGTTGCGGTAAAACATTGAGCAAACCTGTCAACAAATCGGCGATACTCAAATGTAGAATGAAGAAATACATTCTGGTGAACTTTCGTCGCTGATAACGTTGCCTGACGTAAAGGGCAAACAGGATCAGGGCATTGCCGAGTAGCGTGACAAGAAATATGATGGTTAAAACCGCGATTTCCCATCTGGCGAGATATTCGTTCCTCGAGTCGTCCAACGTCTCCTCCAAAAACGGTGGCGAAGATGACGTTGTATTCAAATCGTACGACATGTCTCTCTTCTCGAGAATACTCTTCGCACTTTTTCTTCTCACTTTTTTTTCCACCTTTTATTTTGTCACGCAGACAAAACTTGTCTCTCTCTCCCCCGAAAAAAGGAGAACATCCACGCGAATCCGCGCCTGCTACGAGCGTGCGACGTGAAACTCGCGTGCCGGATGAATATTCATACGAACTTCCGGTAGCGATGATGTAACAACGCTCGTTGCCTCGATGCAATTTTTTGGGGAAAATATTGTTGAAAATATCGCAAAGCGCGCCGATCGAGAATGCTGATCACGGTTCGATGTCGCTGTCAAGAGATGGAAAATCCGCCGGGGTGTTGGCGAAACGCGAATAATCCGCGTGGACAGCGAATTCCCACAGGAGCGAGCGATCAGCGCGATTTTCGCAAATCACTTAAGCAACCTTTGAGGTCTCGCGCAACTCGCGCGAGTCACGCGTGCAACCTCGATACTGCACGATGCATTCGTTCGAATTGCCTCGCGTCTTATCTCGAGTCAGCCATGAGGTACAAAGTGGAAGGATCGACGAGAAAAAACTGAATCGCTTGACAAAAGTTCGGGATCTTATATAGGTAGATCTTATGCGTCTATCTGCGTATATGGAGGTTGCATATATGTATGTACACTGAGAAAAAAATAGTTTAATTAAATCGTTTTAATAACTAAATTACTATTTTGTTAATTGAATATATATATATATATATATATATATATATATATATATATAGTATTTAAGTCAAATACACGTTTTGTTAGATTTAATATTATAATAACGTTATACAAATGTTGAATTTTATTTAAATATTTCTATATGTTCAATTAACAAAATATTTAGTTGAACGATTTAGTCAAGTTAACACTTTTTTTTCAGTACAAAATATAATCGAGAAACATTTTAGTCGCTTTTGAACGCATTCGATAATATATAATAGAGAAATTGTTTTCTAAGAATAATTTAAATTTAAAACACAATAATAGATATAAATTCTAATTATTCCTTTAGAATTAGAGTACAAATTTTCTTATTAAATATTTAATACGTTTTTCGTGTGTAAGCAAGAATTACTAAAAAACAGCATCTTTTGCAAAGCATATTTTATATATTAAATGTAGTTTGAAAGAAAAACACGTACGTAAATTTTAAGTATACATAAGACTAAAATGAAACGCATTTTTTCAAATTTTTTTCTTGCATATGTATGAATTATTTGCAGAATAATTTCAAGTAATGAATATTATCATTAATTTGTTATGCAAAAAATTGCAAATTTGTTTAATACAAAATATACTGATATTTTGCTTAGATGTAATTACATTGGTTGTTGATGTAAAGGCATTATCATCATAATTATATGAATCAACCGTTGTTCATTACTTTTATGGATTGTAGTTAAATTTATTACATTAAAATGTTAAAAATTAATTTTTAAATGGAACTTTTGCTATAGTTGAATAAAACACAAAATGCGAATAATAGTAAAGTCAACAATTATCTGACTAACAATATTTGTCGCAAATTGCATATTATGGGAAAATCACAGAGTTTTTTTGTGCTAATTATACAGATTATACAGATTTATATATTGATATAAATCGATAAATTTTCTCTCAAAAAACTTATAGCAGTTTTTTTATTAATTTTTATATATGCGTAAAATTAAAAAATAATAAAAATTTTCAATAAAAGTTTTTTTAGGTAATTGATTCTGATTTGTCGACATATATCGTTTGTATATATCTATTTGTTATTTTATTGTACGCATTTCTCTTTCCACCGAATTTTAATTAAAACATTTGTGCGTATAGCTTTTTGTTTTACAGATTCGGCTGTACAAGACTATTTTTATATTCGCAATCGATATGTAGATTTTCTTGAAAAATTGTTTGTTTTTCGCGGAAACACATACAACACAAACAAGCTTTTTCCCTTTACTTAGTATGCGCTTCATATAAAACGAATTAAAACAAACATCCTATCTCAATAATTATATTGTCTAGTTCCAGTTATACAAGTTTATTGTTAATGATTAACAAATATCGATTATCGCATAGCCACAAGATATTGATATCGTGAAATGGATCGACGTGCGACAAAATTTCTCCGTGTCGTCGGTCGAAGGTGTTCTATATAATTATTTATGACAGTATCGAACGATACGAAGCGTGCACAATAGATTTTTTTATGGTGAACCATTTATCGAATACGTTCCCTGGCGTATTCGCCGAGAAATGCTTCGCAAAAAGCGTCTTTCTAACGCGCGACGCGATATGTGTATAATCTTGCTAATGCACTTTGACCCGCGGCAAAAATGTCAGTTTTTATCGGTTTTTTCATTGAGTATAAATTAAGGTCATTTATGAATTCGCGCGCTTCGTTCAAAGTTGAAAGACATGAATCAATCACGACGTTAAACTTCGACGAGGAAATTTAATATCACAGGTTACTAAATTTTTATAACAATTCAGTAAAAAAAATATAATTTTTTTGCAGAGAAAATATATTATTGGCTTGTTAAAATTATGTCTACGCCTGCATTTAAAAAAAATATAAAATATCTCAAGCGCACATCAAATGACATGTCATTTGCTACTTGGAATATAAATTCTGAAATGTAGATCAAATAAAATCATATGCATCATAAAGTAATTTTTTAGAGTAAAATGCTTCGGTCTAAGAGATCATTTCAGAGTTTATCGATGTTTACTCTTCTGGAAGTCGCATATATTTGTAAACGAACATGTCTAGTCATGTTCTATTCACGATATTTATGTTTTTTGCATTTAAAAAAAATTATATCAATGTCATATATACTTTGCGCACTTTTAATTAGAGACACGATATAATATGATGTTTTTTAATTTGTCCGGCAGAACGACTATGTAAGCATGACTTGATAATTGACTCGCGGCTAGGTAACTATAATGTATAATTAATTAGTGAAACGCAATCTCGATGTAAATGCGTTCATGTGCCGGTTAATGATCGAACGACAATGTCGAGCGGGCTGGGCGTGATCGCGACACAGTTTCGGACGTTTGTTTGATCAAGGTGTATAGTCGGTTCGTTTATTATGCGCCATATGGCATTGAATGGTTAAACAGTCCAATTAAATAGGCGTACATGACCTGTATTCACGCGAATCGCGAAAAGACGTGTGAGCTAAAAGATCTTGGTGAGTTATAATTATTACAACATTTTTAAGTTTTAAATTCTCACAGAAAACAAGCTTCCGGATTTTTACTCTGATTAAAAGTTTACGTAATGAATATGTACGCGACATAATAATAATTTGATCAATTAAAATTATGTTGTGATATAATGACATGCATATGTATGTACGAATATGCCTATACTAATGAATATATGTATTGTATGTATATGTATATAAATATATCTATGCGTATGCATATACATATACCTATACATACATATACACACGCACATAAATATATATATATATATATATATATATATTTCATTTCGTTTAATCTAATCGAATATTAAAATTGTATATATAAAAACTATATGCATGATGCATAAAAATATTAATTATGCAAGGCAAACATTCAATATTTAAATCTTTGATAGGAAATGCAAACAAAACAATAGAATTTTTTATAAAAATCTTTGATCAAAATATTTGCGCTTTCATTACACTCGCACGTCTCCGTATCCGTCCGCCACGCTGCACTTCTCGCGCGAGACTGATGTCTACTACTGATCCAAGAGTGATGCTTATACTACTGATTGCCGATCCACAATACGTAGCCGAGACTGGCAGACTCATCGTGTGATTAGATTTCATGCGTATAAGTATATGTATATTTTTTCTTATTTGTAACTTGTGTTTATTTATTTTGTTTCACGTAAAAGATGATATTTTTCATAAACTTGTAAAAAAATATTAGAGAAAATTACTATTAGAAAAAAGAAAATAATATGTAGAATTGTCTCATTCTTTTAAAGAAAGTTGAATAAATATAATCTTATCTCAGAGACACTTTACCTAAAACAACAAAGATTTAAAATCTAGTTAACACACACAAGAGTGAATACCTGATTATATCTTTTCATAAAAAAATTTGCCGAGTAAAATAATTTTAATTTTTGCATGACAACGCAGCTTAGTCGTATTAGTAAAATCCCAGAAACTTAAATATTATTTTTCTTATTTTTTAAAAACTTTTTGTTATTTTTTTGGCTTGTTTCTCATCAACTATAATCGAGTGACGATTACAATGGGTAGCATACAATGTAAAGATCAAAACCAGACAGATTCTGTTACCGCGAGCGAATTGTATACAAAATTAAAAAGATTAACATATTTCAATTATTGATTCGAACACAAATGCGATTATAGAACTGGAATATACTTAGCTAAGTATTGCGGCTTTATACTTATCCTTTCGTACGTGCATTCTTCTACGGAGTAGTCTCTCTCTCTCTCTCGGATTGAGAACCACCGCTTTACATCATCCCTCACACGATACATCACGGCGCATCCCTTTCGACGGGTGTCGCGCGTAATTGACTCAAGGGGGCTGCAATCGATGCTGTTCGACTCTCTCATAACTTACTCCACTATCGTCGGCACATTACTCCGCCCTGCGCCCGAAGGAGGGGTTTGCAATATCTTTGCGTTTTCTTCATTTCTATACGGCGAGCCATCGTCGCGCCGGTTCCTCGTACGTCCTGGCCCTTCGCCTTTTCGCCGGCGCAGCAAGTAAAGACGTTTATCATTGTCGACGCTGCTCGTCGCCCGTGCTCGTCGTTCCCGGTTATTACGGGTTATGAACGTCCTAGGAGGTGCGCCGCACACCGGTCGATATAAAGGGAGAAAGTGATGACCTCGGCGCGCGTTCTGGAAAAGCTTCATAAAGTAAATTACTATGTGCCGCACGTACATCTTATGAGGATTAAGGAGGGACAGACACCTCGCCGTCAAGGCGTCTCTTTCTGCTGGACCCTGTTTCTTATTCCCGACGTACTCGCAGAGATGGTTGAAAATCATGATGCTCCCTATCTCTTCCTTTCTTTCCCCGTGGCTTCCCGATAAAAAAAGGCACCGCAGTAGATAGGGTCAAACACAAGGCGGGGTAACTTGTATAGATTATAACGTTAAGCGCATAATAAGTTCAGTCTTATTAGATTTTTTCTCGCAGCACGAATCTTGCGAGAATGTTTCTTACTTCTATATAACCACGGATATTTTATCCGTGAAATGTTATATCGGAGTATATGTGTTCTCCGATTATTTGCCGATTTTTCTTAACTATGTGTGTAGAGCAAAGAATCAGAAAAGGTGATTAAAACTAATAATTTTAGAGAATTCTTTTTCTCTATATCCTATGTTGTGTATCAATATGAAAAAATTAATGTTTCTTTGAATATACAGTTATTCCACGGCAGTCGTGGCTCTTTGAAGCTTAAGTTTTATTAGTTTCTATTCTTAAATGCTTCTCTGTAGAAAGTACATCATGATAAACG